CGTTAATGATCTGCGCAGCTGCGCAGGAAGTCGCCTGCGGTTGCCGATAGTGTGTGCGAATCCAGAGTAGAGACCTAACGACACCATTGGCTGTCCGTGCCAGTCGTTAAAATTAAAACAAACCAATGAAATGCACAAGTGCCCCGCCTCTACACTTTCAATTCCCTATGGTATGTGCGTACCGTCGACTTGCGAACGCAGTCTTATTTTTGACGTGCTACCGCAAGTTTGAGTTGGTGCTACTAAACGCAAAATGGCTTTAGTAGATTTTTTCGGAGCAGTTCGTGCGGGAAATGTGCCAGAAGTAGTGAGGATTCTACATTTGAATCCTCACTACGTATATCAACAAATACCCGACGGTCGAACGGCACATGTGGCGGCCGTCCACAACCGGCTGCGAATTTGCAACCATCTGCTGGGTGCGGGCGCCGCCATTGATGCAGCTGATCTTTATGGAATGACACCGCTGCATCTTGCGGTGAATCACAATGCCGCTGACGTGGTAGAGTTTCTGTTAAACTGTGGTGCGAATGTGAAAATTAAAAATAATATGGGTTTCACCGCGGTGGACTTGATGCTTGGCTCAGAGTCCATCATCGCCCCTCCCCGCCCGCAATTGCTACGTCTATACGTTTCTATGTTGGTGGGGAGCTTGGCGTATGCTGTAGGCTCGCCCGTGACGCTCATATATGGAACGTCACAAGCAACAACAGCACCACAAACAACATCAGCAACAGCACCAACAACAACATCGCAACCACCACCTCAGCAGGCAATGGAGTCGTCGACGTCGACGGTGCCAGCAGCGTCGACCAACGGACCGCAGCGTCGCTGGCGTTTGAGCGGTCCCCTTTTGCCGCTGCGTCGGCCGCATTCAATATCGGCACCGCTGCAGCAGCACCAGCAGCAGCAACGCCAGGTGTATTCGTCCTCCCCACCATCAACTCCGAGGAGGACGAGTACACCAAATCAGGAGAGGGCTCCGTGCGCGGCGAGGTCCTTTGCCGCCACCACCGCCTCTAGCTCTTCCCATCGCGGATCTCGCGCCGGAGGAGCTGGACGTCTGATGCATCGTCCGGATGTATGCAGACATTCCTTTTCTTCTGGTGAGTACTTTTGAATGTTGCTACATCTATCATTTCATTTCAGTGGTCATCTAGCATTCCTTCATTAAAAAAAAACGTTTTGTTTCATTTCAGATCTTACTGAAATGCTTACTGATGCTGTTGATGAAGCGCAAGAAGATGTCGATGATGAAGAAGATGATGATGAATTCATCTTAGGAGTGTAAATATTGCAGTGTTATTGTAGTGTGTAATGAAGTGTGTAATATTGTAGTAGTATTGTATTGTGACTATATATTATATATACTAATAAATAATAATTATATAAATGAAATTCTTTACCCTATCACCACCTACATAGGATTCCTAAAATTTAAAAAATTATAGTTTTCCATTATGAATAAAAGAAATGAAACTCTTCGAATGATTAATACTTAATGAATTTAATACTTTAAAACAATAATGAAAAAAAATATTTTCATTACTTTAAATCAATAATTACATTAAATAATATTACTTCTCGATTGTTGTCAACAAATTGATTATATTTTTTGCATTCTGATGACAATACATTGTTATTTCATTGAATAGTTGATGTCTTCTGCGAGTACTTGTATAAAATAATTCTTGAATGTTGTCAACAAAATTAATTACATTTTAATGCATGCTGTTGACAATGCATTGATATTTCATTAAATAGCTGATGACTTCTGTGAGTACTTACATTCTGTTTACAATACATTGTTATTTCATTGAATAGTTTAATGTCTTCTGCGAGTACTTCTAATTTTTAAAATAAAACTCTTATAAGCAAATAAATATAATGATTTTTACATGATTGTGAAAAACATTTAATGAGAATATTATTTCTTTCTTTACTTTAATGGAATAATTTCAATAAATAAAAAATACTTCTCGTTTGCTGTCAACAAAATTGTTTATATTTAATGCATTCTGTTTGCAATATTGTTTTCCTTAAATATTGTTGACTCCATTCATGGGAGTAATTCTATTTTTTTTTTCAATGGAGAGGAGAATGAAGGAAGAATGAAAGGAAATAAGACAAGGAAAAAAAATTTTTAAGCTCTTATAAGATCTTATTCTTTTTTTTATTTTTTCAACAATGTCATACATAAAAAATTGTTTAAAATTTAATGTATTTCATGCCATACTCCATAATAGTCTTCCATGTAGATTTCAACTTTAAGTGTTCAAAGGGATATAAAAGTATCACGTAAGCATTGTTTGTTGGATTTTTTCCAAAATATATAACATGAGGTCTTGATTTAATAAATTGCTCCGCTCCCATTTCATCGATAAACGGAGTAAATCAATAATTCAAACTAAATTATTAATATATTTATAATTATAATTGACAATAAGATTACAAAAAAGATAATTATAATACTAATATACCTTATCGGTAAAAATGTGCTGTATTTTTCGTTTAGAACGACAGCATAATTTTCACTATTGTATCTTTCCGAAGTAATTTTTTTCGTGCTTGTAATTTCATACGCGATACCCTTGGGAAAGTCCTCCCAATGCTTAGAAATTTGGGAGGATTCTGCCCTTTGCACGATAGCACTCCAAATGTCACTAAAACAAAACAAAAATTAAATAAAAAAATTTTCTTTTTTATCATATCTCAAAATTAATAAATCATTCTACTTACGTCTCTTTGGGCGGTGAGTATATAAAGACTGGACACGATGGATCCGCTACCAGTCGCGGCGCTGTGCATTCGGTTATGGCTATTGCCGATCCTGACGATGGTGTTTCAGCTCCTCCTCCGATGGCGAACTGTGAAGTTACCAACGCCAGTCGGTATGCATCAATTGCATCATCGTCGTCGTCGTCGTCGTCCATTAGCCCTGTCAAGTCGATGGATGCCACATCCGCACCCATCAAACGTCTTTCTAATAAATCGATTTTTGTCTGTTCGTTCGCACTATTAAAAATAAAAAAAAATAAAAACATTAAAACTAAAAAAATTAAAATTAATCTAAAAATGAGTGGAAAAAGAAAAGGGACAACAAATACTGTTTACGCACGCACGTGGTCTGCAACCA